CCATCATTCTGTATAGAAGCTTAAATATGTAATGTAACCAGATTCCAGTATTAAAAATCTCACGTTATTTTTCTTTTTACAAAGCAAGATTATGGCATATAACACTGCCATCACATGGCAAAATGTTTGCTACCTTAGTTTTAAAAACAACTTTTAAAGGCTTGCTTTGAGGTGTTTTTGAGTAGCAGTGACTGAGAATTTAGGGAGAGGTGTGGCCGCTGTGCCACTGCCTGCGTCTGGCGCCGAGGCTGCACTTTGTCAAGCAACATAGATCTAAGCTGCTGTTTTCCAGTAATCACTACTATATCATGTCTTTTACTCTGTTTATATCAAGTATTTTTTTAAAGATAGAAGTATCCAATCAAATCTCTTCTTGTGCTCAGCTAAAAGTGAAATATACCTACAAATATTCACCAGAGGCCATGTTTGTGAAGGTAGTTAAGAAGACAGTCAAGATTAACAGAAGAATCCAGGCATGTCAGTTCTGAAGAGAACAGTTGTCAATTTTATATCTTTAAATTTTTTATTAAGAAATTGCTTAGCAAATTTATAACACTATTTGTGCAACTAGTTATTTTGAGGCCTTTGACTCCTGAGTCCCACCCTGTGTTCTGTCTAAGCGGCTCTAACCCAGCCCCGCAGCTTTGAAGCTCAGTATCTGCTGCTTTGCTCTTTACAAAACAGCATTGATTGACGAAAGTCTTGGCTTCACTGAGGTAGGGTGGCATTGGTTTTGGTGAAGAGGATGAATACACTTAAATTTCACTATACATTGTTATATCTCCCCCATTGTTGTTAGTGGGGACTATGATACTGTAATAATATTTTTAAAATTTGCATCCAGAGAGGCAGTCATTTATGGTTTGTGCCAGGTATTTTTAGGGTTGGGTCACACTGAGATGTTTAGAGCTCATTGCTCTGGAGCTCTGTAGGAAGTCTACAATGCCGAGTGTCTGGCACTTGAGATTCTGCTTTTACTTTGAGAGGGTCACATCTGTTGGCCTCTGTTGTTTAAAAAAATAAATAAATAAGTAAAAAAAATCTGTGCAATAATTTTAAATGTGCTCCCAGGAATAGACACGAGCGTTTTGAGTATGCCTCAGCTGCATCTCCTTCAGTGATGCGTTTGTCAGTTGCACTGAATCTAAACCTGAAGGTCAGAGGTGATTATTGATAGTGCTTTTGTATTTTGATATGGACATTTTGTTCATTTGCATACAGTCATTGACATTTTTCCCAGCTGATTCAAAGACAGTCACAAATTCTTGCAATTCAGCCGCCAAAATGACAGCTGAATTTTACGATATTGTCTTGCTTCCTGTTGGGTGTGTTTGTTGGTTTGGTTTCTTTTCCTAGTTCTTTGGCTGTTTTACTTCAGCACCTAGCTGTGATAGGATGTGTAACAGAGCATGAGTGCAGAACTTTGCTGTCCTGAAGCCGTGGGTCCTCCCGTGCAGACTTGTCTGAAGGTGTCCATCTTTAGGCTGGTTCTTTGTGAGCATAGGACTGGGTGCTTTGCTGCTCTTCTCTCTGTCACCGTAGCCTGCTGACGTGCCACAATGCTGCTCCACAGACACCGCACCATGTCTCCACCCAAGCAGTCAGATCATCCCGGGAGACCATGTTTCACAGCATGTGAAGTTCTGTCTTGGGGTTTTTACTTTCGCTCTTGTCTTTTTCTGAGAGCTTACTCTGAAGATCCACTGAGTCCAGGAGTCTTTCTATGGTGGTCCTTTAGATCATTGTTTTATACTTTACTGTAAGGAACTTAATCATAAGGAAAGAGAATAAGGAGACTTAAATGGAAACTCTTTGATTAAAGTAGACTAGAGGGAGCAGCTGCCACCCTTCAAAGGCATGAAGGAATCTGCTCTCCATGTGGAGACCCCTGGAGACGTAGATTTGCCCTGTTCCTGTTTTCCATGATCAGGTAATATCATTGACTTTCAAATGACTTTAGAAGTGGTAACTGGAATAGGTCTTAGAGTGTAGCAAATTCTGTTTTCATGAGTTATCCTCTAGGTGAGTATGTTTTAGGATTAAACACCTTTTACAGATACTGAAAGTGCCTCCTTTTGTGGTATAAAAAAAACAAATTATGGTGCAAAAAGTAATCAATAGATTGAATCACATGAAGGTTTTTTGCTTTTTGACATTAAAATGTCAAGAGACAGGCCAAAGATTTGTACTTTTCACTTATAAAGCACTCCTTTTTTCCTTAAGATTCTTTCTGTCAAATCAGATTTAATGAGAGAGTACTATTTTTAAGGAGCTATCTGTTTATGTAGAATGATTTTGTTAAAAAAGAGTAATGTAAAATATGAATGAGGAGCAGAGACCCAAACCCACAGAGGACTGGGCATTTTGCTGTTTAAAGGAATCACAGGTGACCAGGCTTCTGCAAGCAGACCTGACAAGTGTTACCAGATGCATAGGAAAACCGTCTCAGACAGTGCTGTCTTGTTCTTTTAAAGACCATTTATGTTTTTGTGAGCACGTGGCACATTTCCACAGAGCCGGATTCCCACAAGCTAAGAGCAGTACTTGCAGAATTACTGCAGAAACCCTGCCTCCGTGGACCAGCACCGTGGCACACCAGCAGAAGCCAGCGTGGGGGCTGGCGGCCAGCCTGCAGAGACCCTGGGGGTGATTTTTCATTTGTTTCTTTGGTTCCCTCCTTTTCTCTGAAATCAGCAAGGAGGGAAGGTGTGAACTACTTCCAGTAATAGTTTTGAAGTGTCTGTCACGTTTAATATCAGTTTTGTTTGTTTGTTTTGATTTGGTTTGTTTTTGCTTTTTCAAGACAGGGTTTCTCTATGTAGTTTGGTGCCTGTCCTGGATCTTGCTCTGTAGACCAGGCTGGCCTTGAATTTACAGATATCAGCCCGGCTCTGCCTCCTGAGTGCTGGGACTAAAGGCGTGTGCCACCACCACCTGGTTTAATATCAATTTTTAAATATGTGATTCTAATTGAATGTAGACGAGAGGAAAAAAAGGAAGTGCTCACATTTTTAATCCACTCATTTAGAATCTGGTGTCGTCTTTAGCAGTTCTGAGGTGTTTATAGCATTCTTTATTTCTGCTCTTCTGTGACAGTGTTGAAGCAGGGTGAATAACTAGGCTTTTTTTTCCTTTTTCTTTTTCAAACCTAGCAAGCTGTTTCATGTTTTCTTTGGAATTTCTGGATAAGTTGGAGGAAACATTCTGCATGTTGTGTCCTGTGTACTTCTTCATCTCATACAAACAGGCAGACTTCATTGTGTATCTCTGCCGTCGTTAAACACAGAAGTGATTTTCTCTCCTGATTTTGACATTGTCACTGTATATAATGTTTTCATTTGGGTTTGGCAAATCCTTTGGGTCCGATTCTGTGAGCATATCCTAGCACTGGGTGATGATGTCTGCATCCTTTCTTTAGTTCCCCAGTTAACATTAAAACTGTTGTAATAGTGTAAACCAGCCCACGACAGTTTTTGTTTTGTTTTGTTTTGTACATGTTAAGGAACTTTATTGTTAGTTTTCATGATGACTGTGTAAGGAAGACTGATACAGATGTCTCTCTCTCCTGGACCATGTCAATGACACTTACCATGTATTTTGGTTCCACATCGTGATGATTTGTCCCCAATGACCCTTTGACCCTACCAGGCACATTTTTTGTGTGTGTGTGTGTGTGTGTGTGTTGTTGTTGCAGTTTTTCCCTTTGCATTGTATTGCTTTGACAACTGTAATTTGAATCAGATCTGAAAGAGGTCCAGAATAAAATATATTTTGATATTAAAAAAAAAAAAAAAAAAAAAAAAAAAAAAAAAAAAAAAAAAAAAAAAAAAAAAAAAAAAAAAAAAAAAAAAAAAAAAAAAAAAAAAGAAATAGACCATATAACACAGGTTAAATATCCCTTATACAATAGACATGGAATCAGAAATGTCTCAGGTTTCATTTTTTTTTTTCTGATTTTGGAAGACATACATCTATACAATGAGATATCTTTAAGATATCTTAGGACTCAGTTCCAAACATGAAATTCATTTATGCTCCTTACGTGTATAATCCGGAATGTACAGTAGTTACAGTCTCTCTGCATTTGAGTGTGCATCACATGATTACAAGTGTGGGATTTTCCATCTGCATTATCACGTCAGAAAAAATTCTGAATTTTGGAACATCTTGGATTTAAATTAAAAAAATAATAAATGAGGATGCTCAAACAATAAAACATAAAGAAGACAATGTTTAAGAAAACATAGGAAAAATTTCACACTAGAATCAGAACAAGTTGATAGGGTACTATGTAGCAGATATGATTCTAAGCTACATTAAAGACATAACACAACCATAATGAAGGTGTCAATTTGCACTCAGTGCATTTTGTGCATCTGATAAATGGGTGTCTAGTGTATTCCAGGTGCTAGATGCTATGCTTGGCTTTGGGGAGCTGGCAGGAACTAAAGAAAGTCCTGGGATTGCTATAAGCCTAATAGTCCAGCAAAATGCAAGTGAAATTGCATCAGAGAATGGAAAAGGGGGATGTCTTAGGAGGACAATGAAAGGAATAGAAGATGTTTAACTAGAAAACATTTTTTTAAAAGAGCATTTGAAGGGTTGATGGGAGGGAAAAGAATTGTGTTTTGTGTTGACTTCATAATATTTAAGGTGTGGCCCGCCTCCGTCTATTAAAGGATGGTATGCTCTGGGCCACAGCATTAGACGCAGTGTATGACTAGTGCATAGTAGAAGGATCTTCAAAATAAAATAAAATAAAAACGTAAGCTAACATCTATTTCTATCCTTTTTTCTAGAAGTGCTGGAGATTGAAACCAGGGCCTTTTCCATGCTAGGTAAGTGCAGTACCAGGGAAGTACATCTCCAATCACTAGCCATGCACCCCATGGTGTTTCTGCTTTTGGGAGAAGTCCGTCTACACCAGCAGCCTCTTGAGTTGGCACATGACTTGCTCTGGCTGCTGGCAAGCGTGTGGAAATGATCATGGGAAGAAGAGGCAGCTAACCAGATCAGAGGTGAAGAGCATGTTTGCTTGGCCAGAAAGGTCTGTGGAACAGAATGGTCTTGAACAGTAGCTGAATACTGAGTTTAAACCCATGCGCCTCCTTTAACCAAACATGTGCTGGCTTCCGCCAAAGCCCAGAGTGAGGTTAAGCTCACTAATAAGCTCAACAGGAGTGTTCTAATTGTTACTGTTTCTCAAAATTAGGTGGCCCACCTATCATTAACACATATTAGTGTGGCCAATTTCTCCGTAATTGTGGGTTTGATTCAACTCGTTTAAATCAATTTTATTGATGTTTAAGGACACCTACAATGTATCACTTGCAGTTTCGGCTGGAAGTTTAGTGATCAGACTGGAAATGAAAAATTGATGCCTGGCTTTGTTACTGACACTGTTTACTCTCCTCTTGCATACCAGTTTGCCTAAGCTTAAGTGTCCGGCACTGGGAAGTGAATTATCATTGGTAACTAGGAAGTGAAATTACAAAGATGTCAGATAATGGGGCAGGAAAACAGGAGGATAATGTGTCTCCTTCCTTTCACTCTGTTCAATATTTGAGTTTTGCCTAGACACTAAAGTCCCTCTAGATACCAGCTTACATCTTTCTTACAATTAAAAACCACTGATTCTAAAAAGGACCACAGAGTGAAGTTCAATCAGGCCCTGCTTTCTGGGACTCTGCCTTGTCTGCTAGAGGCTGCTGTTCATTTCTCAGTGCTGTGAATGCACTTGGAAATCACATTCATGTTGACCTGAGTAAACCATTTTTTTCATTAGAGGTAGATACTTCCCAAGTGGTCCTGCACAATTCCCAAGTTGTCTCAATTCCATATGTAGGTATCTGCCACTGTAAAAGGGATGGGAGCTGTCCCTTAACTTCCCCCCTATTATCTCTAGCTAAGATTTCAAGTAGAGACAGCAAATAGCACATGCTTATTTTGAAAACATGCATGAAGATCACCAAGATACTAGAATATAATCCAGTTGGAGAGATAAAAGAAACCTGAAATATGTAAAAGGGGGAAAGTCAAAACAAAAATATCTTGGTAATTTAGATAAAATATTGACCTGCCACTACTTCCAAATGAATTGCACCAAAAATGATTATGTTCATGTTTGGAAGAGGTGACAGTAGTTAGATGCTTAAGGTGATCCTTAAAGGGATTTAAGAGGAAGGGGGAGAGTTCATTCCAGAAAGGCAGAGCAGGAGAGCTGTGTGGACAGAACCAAATGCCCAATACTTTAGTCATCCTTGCATATGGTGCCTAGCACACAGGGGGACTTACTATATATTGGCTGAAGAAGTAAATGGCGTGGCGGGCAGCTCAGAAACAAAGAATCAAGAAGGAGACCAAAACAACAGACTCGGAGTCCAGCTGAGAAGACATTGCTGTGCCAGGCTGTAGAATTTGGCTTTTACTTTTTGAGAGCCTATCTTGGGAGAGAGGGCACTGTCATGGATTCAAGGCTTGATCTCTGCTTGTCCAGGCACTGGGGCCTTGCTTCATTTATGTCCTCCTGTGTTTATCAGTCCTTACCTATCTTCTTCCAAGACTACCACACACAGACATGATAGAAATGTGACCTTCCTCAGATAGCTCAGAGTATTTATAACTTGTAAATGTCGTTGTGTGATTAAGTGCCCACAAGCTTTAATATGACCTTGAGATGGCTAATTTTAGAGTGCTCAGCTATACTACCAACTTGCGATGGTTAGTTTTAATGTGTTGCCTTGACAACAGAGTACCCAAATATATGGTCAAGTGTAGTTCAAGCTGTTTACACTTGAGTGCTTTAGATGAAATTAACATTTCCATCGGCAGATAAACCAAATAATTCACACACACTGAGCATCCATTGTGTACAAATAACAACGTAGAAAGTGTGTAATTAGAAATTTCTATTCATTCATTTCTGCTTCTGTTAAGCTCATCTTTTGGGGGGGGGGCTAATGACTGCATTAAGTAAAAATGCTTCTGTGCCTTCCTTCAGGTTAGAGCTCGTCACATGCAGCACTTCATAGATGAGAGTACCATGGCTCTCATCTGAAAAGGGTGGAGTTGGGGCAAATTTAGACACGTTTCCCTCACCCCATCCCTGCCCCAGGGATTGAAAAGGCCTCAGGCATGCTGGGAAAGCGCTCTACCACAGAGCTATACTCCCAGAGCGAAACTGAATTTTCAAGTGAGGCATGCTTCACCCAGTTCTTTCATCTGCCAGATCTTTGCATTGATGGTGCCTGTAAAGCAATCGCGAGCTTGATTAGCAAACTGCTTCCGAGAGACACTGAAGAAACAGTTCCTTGACTACTCCATAAGAGCTTACATACAATACTGGACAGTAGACCGACCTTTCAGCCTAAGGAAAGAGCTCAGGTGATCTCCAATTGCTTTCACTTTCAGCCTGCCATAAGCACATTGTGGTTTTCTGAGTTTCAAAAATAAACATCAGCTGTAACTGTTCAACAAGCCTACTCTCACAAACAGAGAGAGATTGTTATGTTCTTCCACACTGAAGATTAATAACCAATAGAGGACCTCAGCATAGAGAATTTCTGACTCAAGGCTGGGGCTGTAGTTTAGTGGTAGAGCACTTGCCTAGCATTTAAGCATGTGTGAGGTCCTGGATTCAGTCCCAAGTGCCACACACACACACACACACACACACACACACACACACACACACACATACACAAAATGTAGTTGACTAGATAGGTGAAAAAGTAATGCTATCCCAACAGTAATATGATACAGATAGAAATTGCTAGACAGAAATATTGGGAATTGTTCAGAAAAATGTGCTGACTAAATTGAAAACAAGAGAATTGAGAGAGGCAGTTTATCAATAAATGATAGATAACTGAATTGTAGAAATAACCTTGTTTGGTTTTGTTTTAAAGGGCTACACAATGCATATCTTCTCATTTTCCAGAATCTGGAGATGATTGGTATTACCAACTCCGGTCTTATGCAGCAGTGGGTGAAGGACTATTTTGGGAGCTCTATGTCCACCTACTACAGATGTAACAGTCTTATTAAATAAGAAACACAGAGCCAAATGCAAAGTTAAAAGCCCAAGAGGTCAGAGCAGTAGCTAAGAGCTGAGACTTAAAACTGCCTTCTTACCCTTCCTGCTGCTGCTGTCCTTCCCCTCAGAAAGAGAGACCTACTTCCTGTGTGTCTGTCTTTTTATTGACTTTCTGTTCTGCCTTCTTATTGGTAGTAAACCCAACCACATGACCTCCTTGTCACTGCCTGTCTATACAGACCTCTAGGTCTCTATGATTGGTGTTGAGATTAAAGGAGCATGTCTCCATGCTGGTTGCATCCTTGAACACACAGAGATCTGCCTGTCATGTGATCAGAATTAAGGGCATGTGCCACCACCACTCGACTTTTGCTATGGCTTGCTATTAGCTCTGACTCCCAGGCAACTTTATTAACATACAAATAAAATCACATTTCAGCACAAATATCACCATAACCTACCACTGAGGTAACTATTAAAGAGCAGATGTCAAGCTCTTACTAACAAAATCAACGCTGGGAGGAGCTCTCAGAGTCTCTCTCGCCTCTGTCCTGTCTTCTGGAACTCTCTCTCTCTGCTACTTGACTGTCTTGGTCTCAGAAGACCACATGCAAACAATGCTCAAACCCTGTAGCTACTATCTGTTGGTGTTTTACCATTCCTATATGTTTTGGTTTTTATTTTGAAAGGCCTTTAATACATAAGAAAGTTATTTTGGAAGAAAAAAAGACACTAGTATCGTACTACCCCTGCCACAGTTATTTCTAGGGGAGCTGGCTGCTCATTAGCCACCACAAGCTTGCCTTTTTGATTAAATTAGGATCTGGAATAAAGAGCCCCCACAGGTCACTTCAGCTGGAACCATGTCTCCTGCTCTCCCATGGAAGAGGGAGTCTGGAAGTTAGGGGCTTACAGAAAAAGCCCCAGGCTCTAATGAACCAGAACCTTCTGGGCAATTCCAAGAAAGTACCCTAATGGTGGGGCCAAGAAATAGGCCTGTGGATTTGTTTATTCAATAATCATTCTACACTACTAAAAATAAAAGTAAATGTCTATTTACTCAGAAATGGAGAGTCATTTAATATATGTATGTAGATCTGTATGCATATGCATATGTATATGTATATATGTATATATGCCTGACAATGCACTAGGCTGGTTTAAGTACACAAAACACATTTATTTTTTGTAACTCTGGAGCTAAGAAGTGCAAGGTCAAAAGGCTTCAGAATGAAAGCTACCTTGCTGCCACCTTGACCTTGAAGGTGGCTTCTGTCTTGAGGCTTGCTCACATGACTTAATAAAAGTGTCCATCTTGCATACACATTTGCTTTTCCTTTTCTGTAACAGTGATCTTTTTTTTTGAGCTGAGGATCGAACCCAGGGCCTTGTGCTTGCTAGGCAAGCACTCTACCACTGAGCTAAATCCCCAACCCTGCTTTTCCTTTTCTAAACAATTCATTTGTATTAAATGTTATGAAGGACTCGACACCCAGATGCTGTGTGTTGTTATTGACAGTCCTTCAGCACAGACTGCACTGGCTGAAAAGTCGAGATAAGAGTGGCTTGCTTGCAGTGATGCTCAATATCATTGTGTATGTAATTCCTGCTGGTTCCAGCTTATAGATTTACTGAAAGTATATCACAGACCTGTGGGCGCATGTGCTTATGTGTAATGTGTTATGTACTCATTACCTAGCAATACTGGAAACATGGGGCCCTCTCCAGACCAACAAATACAGAGATAAATTCTTTTTCAAACCAAAGGAAGATCAAATCAAAAGAGAACAGGAATGGATGGCATTGAGACCCTGGCATTAAAATAGAATAGACACCCATGCATTGAAGGTAGAAACTCAAGATACAATTGTTTATTTGGCACCAAATATTTCTTTATTATTGTTTCAGGGAAGACAGGCTGATCCCCTGTGGCCTTACTTGGCTTTGAAATACCATCCTGGCTCACAGTGAAGTACAAAAGGACATCTCAGACTACAACCCGTGCCTTCCTCCCCTCTATCACCTGATCTCAACCCAGCTTATTGGCAGGAGAAGGGTGGAGGTGTCGATGTCAGTAAGGTTACTGTCCTTGAAGTAACTTGAAAAGAAGTAGCAAGGACTGAGTTGCATGTCCTACAGTGTCTAGGGTCACAGTGAGGAAGTCCACCCTAGGGATGTATAGAACTGTGAGTATGTGTTTGACTTTTTCTTAGACTTGGCCATATTTAGTAATTATAACAAATATCCTGTCAGATAACATTTGAGAAAGACAAAAGATTTCTGTAGATGATATGATTGACAGAGAGATGAGCTATTATAAAGTAGGTTTTCCCATCAGTCTGCCCCAATATGTGAAACTGTACCATTAAAATACTGTATTTTACTGTAGTCTGGTTGGCCTGTCATACAAAATACCCTAGGCTGGTTTCATTACACAATACACATGTGGTTTTCATAGTTCGGAGACCAGGACGTTTAAGGTCAATGCACTGGAAGGATGGGCTTCATTCCAAAGCCCAGACATGTCAGTTTGGGCACACAAACACTCAGTTGTCTGCACATGAAGCCTTTACATCAGCATTCTGTAAAATCTTAATTCTCTGGCATCGCCTTATTTAGAGTTTAGTTCATTCTTTGTCTGCTAACATCACAGCATGCCATAGGAGATGGAGAAACAATACCTAAGCAGAAAAAATTAGATTCAAAGGAAGACAAGAAGAAACATAAAAAGAGGAGGAAATTTTATTAAAGAATTGTCCTGGGCAAGAGCGATGGCTCAGGAACCCCGTGAAGGTGCTGGCTACCAAGCCTGATAACTGAGTTCATTGCGTCGGGCCCACATGGTGGAAGGACAGAACTGACCCCCATGGGTTATCCTCTGACTTCCACATATCCACACTCACAAGGACATAAATAAATAAATAGTGATAAAAAATAATTATCAAAAGGCTGACCCCTGTGGAATGTTGTTAGTTTGTTTATGTACTCCATAATAATTAATTGAACTCATTAGGAGCAGAGACTATGCTAAGTGATGGAATAAAACGCTAAGTCAAACCCTATCCAAATGGACTTCACAAGACCCTGAGAGTGTGGCACTCTTCATAAGTAAGAGTCATGTGATGCTAGGTATAATAGGAAAACAAGTCCAGGATGACAGAGGGGCACCAAGGCCAAGTCTATCTGTGCCCCCATTAAAATACTCATTTGGGAAGCCATGTGTAAGAGAATTTTAAATGAAAAATGTATTAAGCCGTTGAGTGGGGATGGGAAAGGTAAGAGGGTAGGAGACGGGGGGTGGGGTGGGGGGGGGAAGAGAGCTGTGGATAGAAAGAGGCAGGCACAGAGGCAAACACAAATTTCCAAAAGTTCCACACAAGTGGGTATGGGCCGGATCTGGAAGGAATCACATGCCCAGCTCAGGGACTTTCACTCACTAAAAGATTATATGGAGCCACAAAGCAACAGAATCAGATTTTTTCCATTTAAAGAAACCACTCTTGAGGACACGAGAAGTCAGAGACCAAGAAATCTGTTAGGGATTGTTGCAAAACTTTAGACAGGCAATGGATGGTTGTTGGGGTGAGTGATGGGAGGTGGAGAAGAAAGGAAGGACAGAAGCTATAAAAAACAAAATGTAACAGAACCAGAGGTAAATTCAACCACATTATCGAAGGAGGAGACTTCAGATATCCCAGTAGCTCTATATAACCCAAAGAGAGAATTCAGGAGAAAGGAGCAGTTTTGGTGGGAACACATACATGAGTTCCATTGGATATGATCTACTGGCAGTACCTGAAGGATGGCCACGGGAGAGAAGGGGGTCCATCAGCGCAGAGCTCAGGAGAAGAGCTGGGCAGGAGTTTCCCACTCTAAGGGAGGCCGCCGCAGTGTGTGTCTACAGGGCAGGGGGACTGGACAGCCTGAATAAGCCTGGCATGTGTATCTGTCTCACTGGCTACATAGTGAGTTTCTGAAGGGTCAAATCCACATGATTCATTCTTCAATATCTTACAGTGTTT